ATTTACATGTTTATCTTCCTGATGTTTATATGTCTGAAGTATAACTTTAATTATGTAAAATATGTTAAAGCAAGTTCAAAACAATTTCACACTTGTATTTAAGCACTGGCTATGTATGTCACTCACTCCCAATATCTGGACAATTTTGTTATTTCAATTATCATCTTTCTGTCTTATTGCACTGTGTGTTGTATTTTTGATTTCACAGGCCAACAGAGGAGGAGAGGCACCCGGCGTCCCCGTGATGGTCCGTCGGAGGTGGAGCAGACGCTGCTCGAGCTCCTGAGGAGTCCTCCAGCCCCACCACCACCACAGTCTGCTGATGAGCACTTCCTCCTCAGCCTTCTGCCTTTTCTGCAGAGCATGCCGCCTCATACAAAAGAAATTATAAAATTTAAAATGTACAAATTGGCGATGGAAAACAGCACCGTTGTGCTAAATTTGGAACAATCGGACCCCCACAGCCCACAGTAGGCTTTAAAAAAAATGAGGCAGCAGGCTCTGCAGGAAACGCAGAATGCCCTCCTTCCTCTTCTCCTACATTTTGTTACCTGAGGCTCTTCCATGTTCCAAGCGAGGTCCTTTTTATTTCTGTCTCTGTATGTAAATAGTTTGTACATGTTGTATTTTTTTAAGTTTATATTCAAATTATTTTATGTTTGGCCTGAATAAATTATTTTGAAATATGACTAAATGCCTGGCATGGTTCTAATGCACAACAAAGCAAGTGTTATATCACATAAAAACTTGATTTCAATATATGACACATATTCATTTTGTATTGAATGCTATTTATTCCATATCTAAATCTTGATTATATGAAACATGTATTATAATGTAAAGACAACCAATATACTTTAGTGTGTCTGGACAGTGTTGTGTGAGGAAAACAAAGAAATCACAGGACAGGTTAATTACTTAAACCTCGAGCCAATAGCCTTCGAGTATGAGATGTGAACGAGCATGTGATTTGTTGAATGTGGTGAACGAATACGCCCTTCACTGAACGAGTTTCTTTTGAGTCTGAACGAGAGATCTTCTCGTTCATGAACGAAATGACCGAACTGGTACATGTCGTTCGTGAGTTGAATGAACTGGTACATCTCGTTCGTGAATGAGAGTGTACTGGGTCAGTCGGCCATTAAGCATGTCAATCTCAATCAGCAGAAAGCGGATGCAAAGCGCAGTTATAGGTACTTCCACGTTCTGCGCTTCTTCTTCCAAATGTTCCGGTTAGAGTTTCATGTAAATCAGGGTGGGCTTAAGCATCATCATTGGTCCACTAGTTCTAGATTGACAGCTCCTCCTCTAGCCAATCAGATGAAGAGGGGCGGTGACGTCACTCCAATTCCTCTTGTCTCTGTTAGGCTGACATTTAATTAAAATGCATATCCTGCCCTGCTGCTGTATGTTTTTCAGAAAACAGCACATATTTTTAGTGCATTTTAAATGTTTTTGTAAGTTATTCTGCTCTGATATCATAAAAATAAAAGAAAATTAAAAATATTTGGACCCTGAATCTCTACAAATTCCCATATCATGCTCTCCCAGGTTTTGTCAAATTTTTTAGCCATTGTGAAATGCTGTATTATTGCCGCAATATATTTGAAATTAGTACCGAAACTCATGTTTTAGAAGCAATATTTTAACAATATTTATTTTGGTTCTATAAAATCTGTGATCCTTTTCTCCCTTGCATGGGAGGTAATATGAGGTGGACTTAGTTGCCTTTCATGGGCAGAGTGTCAGATGTTGGGTGATTTTGTTTGATGATTAGAATGAAATGTTAGAATACATTTAAAATATATATATAAAATATATCTAAGTGTGATTTCCAATATAGCATCCTGAAAGAGTTATGAAAAATAAGTACTGTTTACATTGTGAATAAAAGGAAGACAGGAAAAATTGAACTGTAATTCTCTACTCACCATGAACAGTAACATTGAATCTCTTGGTTATCTCCTTATTCCCAGCAATGATGCTTAGTTTATAATCTCCAGAGTCTGTGGTTCTGGTGTTTGTGATGGTCAGAGATCCAGTCTGATGATCCAGCTTCAGTCTGTCTCTGAATCTCCCATCATTTTCATATTCAGGAATTTTTGCTTTAGCTATGCGAGTGCTATTAAATCTCCACTCAAGCTCATCATCTTTCTGTAGTTCAGCAACATCATTAAGAAGAGTGACAGATTGTCCCTCCATCACTGACATTGACTTCACTTCATCAGTATCACCAAAGACACCTAAAGAGAATCAAAAGGAACAGTCACTCAACACAGATGAAAGCTCATGGCTCACACAAATGAGTCATTTCCTGTTGTTTATCTATAGTTAAACTGTTGTTTATCTTTCTGTTGCTTTTTTATTTTTACAGCTGTCCACTAATTTGACACAATAGTGAATTAAACATTAGAAATGTGATCGCTTTGGATTACAGAAACAAATACAATACAGTACAGCAGCATTTGTTTTGGTATATTAAAAGCTTTAGTGGAAAAATTGCTTGAGAAACTGATAGTAAATAAGAACTAGATGTTCAGTAACTCACTGAAATAAATGCATCTTAAAACAGACTCAAAACCCATTTAAAAGTATAAAATAAAATTGAAAATATAGCTTTTAATGGAATTAATTTAGAACTATAACTATGGAAAATATAGAAGTATAGAAAATGTCTACTTACCAACTGGATGCCATAAGCACATACAATATAAAAGAACTGGGTAAATCATTTTCATTTGAGATAATAACATTTTTAAAGTTTGAAATAAAATGGAAGTGGCATTAAACCAATTAGCAGTCTTATTGAGCTTTCTTATCTGAACTATCTTAAGTTAACAGGAGGTGGGAAGTCGTGGTTAAATAGTGCAGAGATGTGTACTCTATGTGTATGTGTGTGTGTGTGTGTGTGTGTGTGTGTGTGTGTGTGTTTGTGTGTGTGTGTGTGTGTGTGTGGTATATTGTGGGGACCAAATGTCACAAAGATAGTAAAACCTGAAATATTAAAAATACTAAACGATGTTTATCTGAAAGTGTAACAATGCAAACAGGTTTTCTGTAAGGGGTAGGATTGGGTTAGGGGATAGAAAATGGTGTTTGGTCAGTATAAAAACAATAGAAGTCTATGAAAGTTCCCTCAATTCACAGAAACCTGACGTGTGTGTGTGTGTACCTGGTATTTATCATGTTATGGGGACCAAATGTCCCCACAAGGATAGTAAATTTCGACCTTGTGGGGACATTTTTTAGGTCCCCATGAGGAAAGAAACTTATAAATCATACAGAATTAAGTTTTTTGACAATCTAAAAATGCAGAAAGTTTCCTGTAAGAGGCAGGTTTAGGTGTAGGGGCGATAGAATATACAGTTTGTACAGTATAAAAACCATTACGCCTATGGAATGTCCCCATAAAACATGGAAACACAACGTGTGTGTGTGTATGTGTGTGTGTGTGTGTGTGTGTGATTCTGTCAGTTTGTGAGACTTTTCCAGTACAAACCAGTGTTAATTAGTCTCTGTTGGTGACTTTATTAAAGTCTTCATTTTAATAACCTGCATTAACAATGCATTTAGTGAACCGATTTCAACACTCACAACTCTTGTTTCGATGAATTTAGTACTATTTATGTCTACAGTTAATTTTGTCACTGTCCATTTCACACTTCTAGAGTCCTCTTGGTGAAGTGCCAACAAATTTTTTCATTACTATGTTTTTAATAGCTTAAATATTTTCATCAACTATCATTTACTCTTAAATTTGGAGACTTTGTTTCTATAAATTATGTCAATAAAGGTTTTTTAGAATCATTATCTGAGGTTAAAGGCAGCAAACATCATCTGAAGGCACATTGCTCAACCTGCTGTGTTGATGGCTTCATTACTGTAAATAATAAAAAAAAAAAAAGTTTAATACACAAAAAAATATGTTTGAGTTACTACTGCATCCAGGGACAGATTAAAGCACAGACCTCTGAGAACATGCCCAAAGCACTAGACGAGAAGGGGCCCCAGGCAAGCTACGGGCGGGCCCTGTCAGACCACAAACGAAGACTTTGACAACCAAACATGTATGCTTTCTGGGGTGGCTGGTGTTACCAGTATTACTCTGTGTTCAGCTGTACAATGATTAGATTATTTGGCCACCACAGTACCGCCCCCAATGTCACTTTGCTTTTTTTATAGAAATAAAATCTCTTTAGTTCAGTTGGACAATAGACACAACAATTGTAAACTGAAAGTGTTACATTAGTAAACACTGTGGGACAAAATAAATAAAAAAAACAAATAAATAGCCTCGCACAATGAAAAATAAATTTAGTTTTCAAGCAAAATGTAAAAGTAAAGTGAAAGACTGCTTCTTAAACAAGAGAAAAGATGAATATGTAGGTTTTCTTGACAAAAAAAAAAAAAACGTGGAAACCTGCAAGCACCGCTACCAACAAATCAAGCTTTAATTTTTTTGTTTTCATTTTGAAAAGCCTGTTGACTTGTGCTGTTTAACTGATGTTACACAGGCAGTGTTTGCTAATTTAACACTTTGTGTAATTTATTAGTCACTATAAAATACAACATGTGGTGTGCCACATGTAGGATGGTCCTTTAAGAACAGTGCGTGTCTCTCGTGGTGAGTATGTTAAGCCATTACCTACTTATATAGACACAGGTGAGATCTTACCCTATGTCCCAATGTTTATACTATCCATCCTAAATAGAATTAGTGTGTCCTAAAGCATAGTATGTTGAAAAGAATATGCCAAAAGTCCCCGGATGGTCTACTATTTCAGGTCGATTTTTGAATTGTGCATCTGTGCGCACTCTAATGGCCATTAGAAAAAATCACCATTGCGCTCTGGCAAGGGATTTGGTTCAGAACTACAAGAACAAATAAAATGCTTTAAAAAAAAACTACAAACATGGCAGATGGGCGCTAGAGAGTTAATTAGAGAAGTTTAGATAAAGGGTTTTGAGTTACTAATAATCAACATTTAACCTGGAAAAAAATTATGTTTAAAGGGATAGTTCACCCAAAAATGAAAATTCTGTCATCATTTACTCACCCTCAAGTAGTTCCAAACCTGTATGAATTTCTGATTCTGGATTTCAAAGATATTTTGAAGAAAGTTTGTAACCAGGCTGTTTTGGAAAAAAATACTATGGACGTCAATAGTGCCCCAGAACTGCTCTGTTTCCCACATTCTTCAGAATATCTTCCTTTGTGTTCAGCAGAACAAAGACATTCATACAGGTTTGGAACTACTTGAGGGTGAGTAAATGATGAAAGAATTTTCATTTTTGGGTGAACTATCCCTTTAATGTTGTCCGTGTTATATTTCATCTGCAACAACAGTGTGAACTTTTATAAACATCTGTTTGGCCATTAACTTATAAATGCATCATTATGCAACAAAAAAAATCTTATCACTTTGTCTGGTCTTGTTTGTGCTGTATTGTGTTGTTTGTATTCTTTAATGTGGATGTGGATTTCCCTCTTTTATTTCTCCTGGATTATTAAAGTGACATTCTGAGCTACTCAGTATTGTGAGTTTTGGTTAAAAAGTAACATAAGGTATTTCAACCACCCCAACTAGTAATGTTTATGAGTGTCTGGCTTTGTTTCAAGTTAATTGTTGAAATTTCAGGGTAGAATAGGTTTCTGTTGTTGAGCTTAATGTGTTTTAGTAATGACTATAGAGAAATAAATCTGTGATTTGGTGGCATTATGTCTTTGCTTTTCATTTATCATTCAGTTGGAAGCCTGCCATTGGGGAGGAGGGTGTTTGTATTCTTAGGTATCTTAGGGTGTCCATGTGAAACTGATTAGGCCCCCGTTACACATGCCTTGTCTTATGCATTTTTGTTAATATTTGTTTTATAAGCTATATGTCAGTGTACTGTTTTATCGTTGTTGTTGTTGTGCTTTTCATTATGAATAGTAATGAATCTATCCTTCAATGTTTGGCACAGATCCCTACAGCCAGCTATGAATAGGTCATCCCTGGACTGGAGTACAGTGCAGTTTTTGCAATCATTGTACTCATGGCCATTTATAAACCAGTAAATAAATAAATAATAAATAAATAAAATATAAATCTGTCTAAACAGCGACTCTACCTTCATGTTTCAAACTTCTGAACAGACTACAACTCTAATGCCAGTGTGATGGATCCTGATCAATATCACACATCATGTTTGCTCATTCAGATACACCACTGTTTAATATTATTATAAGTATTATAAGTAACCATTATTATTATCATCATTATCATCATCATTATTATCACATTACACATTCATATATGATCAGGGCCTTGCAGAGACCTTTGGAGGGGCAGGTGCTCAAAGTATAAAATGGACACATGTATGGGATCAGAATCCTGCCTAAAGTATTGCAGTCATGGATAAAAAAAATAACAAGCATGAAAACAAACTTTTAAAACGCAAGTAAAAAATATATTGCACAAGATTTAAAAATGAAAGCAAAGTTTTCAGAATAGCAAACAGTGGTCACGGATTTTAAAATAATAAGTGTAAATCAAAAAATTAATAACGCATTTTTAAAAATAATAAGCAGGAATCAAAACTTTAAACACGTTTAAATCTCCATTAATGTTTACCTTTGGTGTTACACTAAGAAAAGAAATCATAAATGGCATTATGATCCATTTAACTTACTTTCAGGACAAAAGGCCCACAGGAACTGCCATCCTGTTGGCATGAATGTGGTAGCGTGTCACATGCCCATCTGGGCACGTTGCAGCCCTTCTGTTTCATGAAGGACCTGTAATAATTATGATTTATGATTATGTGGTAAAAACAAAAGAAGAATTCTGGAGACACATCTGGTCCTGTAGAATACCTGCAAAAAAGCAGAAGTGTGTAGATTCAATAAAAAGCATTTAATATAGGGGGGAATGGTTTTGGCAGCACTGTCGAATTCATACACCCCCCAATGATATCAAGTTTGCTGGGTCAGAGACCAAATAAACTCATTCTGGAGACACATCTCATCCTGTAGAATACCTGCAAAAAAGCAGAAGTGTGTAGATTCAATAAAAAGCATTTACTATAGGGGGGAATGGTTTTGGCACCACTGCCGAATTCATATGGCATTCTATTGATATGCTCGATGTATAAGCACAAGGTCTTCACAGCTTTTCAGTGTTATCAGCATAAGGGCAGAGTAATTTAGACAGATTTAACAAAACATTTGAAATTGTTCTGCTCCCTAACAAACACATTCTGTTTCATAAGGAATATTGCAATAGAGAAAATGTGCACTTGTAGTAAAAACACACAAACGATAAAAGCACAGCTAAACAGTCCAAGTTGTAAATCATACAAGTTTAGTTAAATACATGATCAAAGACAAATACACAATTAAATACACGATCAAACTGTCCAATACACAAATCGCAATGTATTACTTACGCCTGTCTGCTTTCGCAACTGTCGGCATCGTATGACGTCATGCGCGTGCACGCGAGGGGAGTCAGATCCTGGCAGGGAGTCGGAATTCGGCACAACACTCTCCTGCTGGCTGTTTTACTTTCATTTTGATGCTGTATTGTACTTGATATATTTAAAACATTATGATAGTGTTATGCAATTATATTAGTAGCTTGTTGCATATGTTGCATAGTGTTTATGTAAATAAACACAATATGCAAATAAATCATTGTGTATATCAAATCCACCTGGCCTCTGTAACTGTCTCCTCTGTAACACTATCGCTTTCATTGATCAGTAGGCAGATCTAGCCTAGTCAATGCAAAAACATTTCATTCATTTATTCATAATTAATTTACTCATTTAACGTTAACGGATCGCCAGGCAGACATACAGCAGTGACAGACAGACACATGTAACGGTGTCCTGCATGGAAAGATGTTTCCCAGCTGACAGCTGTCCATTTTCACCTGTACAAGTGAACAGAACACAGCATCGGCAGCTAATGAGGCGCATTGGAGTGACGTCACCGCCCCTCTTCATCTGATTGGCTAGAGGAGGAGCTGTCAATCTAGAACTGGTGGACCAATGATGATGCTTAAGCCCACCCTGATATACAAGAAACTCTAACCGCAACATTTGGAAGAAGAAGCGCAGAACGTGGAAACAAGAGCAAAGGGAAAAACAGCATACGCATACAAAAAAATTTAAATATTTGCACTAAAGTTTGATTAATTTTGATTTTGTGAACCGGCTCAACCGGTTACTTCCTTAGAAAACTTCCTGTGATCAGCAATAATGATAAGCCTAATACTCACAATAAAAATAATAAGGTCATATAGATCATATCAAGTATTGGAGGTAAGAAGTGGATTATCCTTCACCTGAAATGTTTGTCTTTTCATCCTGAAATGCGAGGCAAATGTTGGATCACAATAATTAGGAACCACAGTTTCCACAAATCCCTTCATTTGATTGGGATGTTCTCTTTTATTCTGGACGGCAAGGGCAGTGACTGTAACATCGAGCGTATTTTGCAGTATTAAACACATATTTATACCGATTTCATCAGGCTCCGCAAATTCTTCAAAAAGAACACAAAGAATGGCCTTCTCAGCTGCCATAGTTGCAACTCTCACGTCATCAGAACAGTGTTCAACGCACCACCGTTTCCGTTTAAAAAACGTTTTGCACCGTTTTTGTCGGGGC